AATCCAGGACTGTTGTTCATTTATGTAGCTAGTAAAGACAACTAAAAGTAACTGTGCTACTGGCCAAGAAGAAATCTAACAATGTTTCTTTAATACAAAGCCGAGGCTACGTATGGCCTAGCTAGACTACGGTGAATGTATTCTGATGAGATGAAATTAACTTGGTGGGGGCGGAAAGCCAATCTAATGTGGATTTAACAGGAGCAAATGAAATTAATATGCAACTTAATGAAACTAATATTGTGAATCAATCTGAACACAAAATTACATTTTCATAGGTACTCCCAGGTGAGTCACTGTGCCAGGCTTTTGGTAGGATTAGCAATAATAAAGCAAAGAGGATGGTTCCCTAGGTTCATCTACGAGATCCAGAATAAAATTAGCATGTGCAAAATAATTTATTTATTTCTTCTTCTTTTGGGAGGGGGTGTGTTTGTTTGCTTGTTAAATTGAAAATATGAACTACTTGACCTTTCACTCTGTGATCATCTAAAGTTCTAAAGCTCAGAGTCGTCTAATTGTTGGGGTTTTCGCTGAATTGTTGTAGTGTCTTTGCCCTAAGCACTTTGAGATAACTGTAATCTGGCGCTTTGATTTACTACATGTTGGATACCATTCTAAAATTCAAAATAGCACTAGTAAAATTCTAAGAAAAAATATCTTAGACATGGCAAAAAAAAAAAAAGCATGGAGATATCAACCGGGTTTAAGACACGTTCAGTTTTTAAACCCTAAATTTATACGAGATTTGCAACTTTTCAAAGATCTGTGGAAGCCCTCCACCCTGAAGCATGACACCTACTTGACATTTGGCAAGAATAGAAGAGAGCGCCCTCAAATCAATGCATCCCACGAGTTCATATAAAAAGGCAAATTGGCAACAAACTCGAGACATTAAAAGCTACACGAATGAAGACACACGCACATAAATGGTTTTGAGTGTTCTCTTCGGTTATTTTTAAAAAAAGTGAATGCGAGCGCCTGTGTCCCACACAAGGATTTCTCTGTTTTAACAGCTGACAAATGTCACCAGTGATGTCACCAAGACCTCAGAGGAATAATTACGACTGATCATCCAAAACTAGAAAACATAAAGGACACATTTTGTCTTCTTTCCATTACACCCCCAAACACACACACACACACACACACACACACACACACACACACACACACACACACACACACACACACACACACATTAACCTTAAGAGGACCATGTCAAATTACTGACAGCAGTGGCTGACCAGCTCATACAAAAGCGCATATTAAGCTTGGATTTTCAGTAACATAAGTGTTATCTGGAAGAGATTTGGTCGATTCACCCAATCAAATATTTGAATAATCCACTATTCTACTGAAGCCGTTTTGGTTAAAAACAAGAGGATTTATTTGTTGCCAGCCCAACCCTTTGAAAAACAACAGCGAGATCATCTGGATCAGACACAGACCTCCTGCTGGCAGGAGGCTCCAAGAGACTGACATCTGCACACCCATACTGCAACACAAAGCCACAAACACAATTCATATACAGTGGTGTGAAAAGTCTTTGCCCCCCTTTCTATTTTTTCATGTGTTTGTCACGCTTACAGTAAATGTTTCAGATCATCAAAAAAATTTAAATATTAGACGAAGATAACAGAAGTAAATACAAGATGCAGTTTCTAAATGAAGGTGTTTATTATTAAGGGGGGAAAAAGTTTGTGAAAAAGCAACTGCCCCCTAAACCTAATAAAAGGCTGGGCCAACCTTAGCAGCAGCAACGGCAATCAAGCTTTTGCAATAACTGCCAGTGAGTCTTTTATGGTGCTGTGGAGGAATATTTGCACACTTATCTTTGCAGAATTGTTGTAAATCAGCCACATTACAGGGTTGTAAAGCATGAACTGCCTTTTTAAAGTCATACCTCATACCATATGTCAATCAGATTCAGGTCAGGACTTTGACTAGGCCACTGCAAAGTCTTGATTTTGATTTTCTTAAGCCGTTCAGAGGCGGACTTGCTGGTGGGTTTTGGATCACTGTCTTGCTGATCAGAACTGTTGTGCTTCAGCAGTTCTGATCAGCTGGTCACACCTGGGAAACTTCACCACTGTTCCATGTTGTTGCCATTTGTGGATAATGAGTCCCAAAGCTTTAGAAATTGCTTTATAACCTTTTCCACACTGAAAGATCTCAATTACTTTGTTTCTCATTTGTTCCTGAATTTCTTTGGATCACGGCATGATGTCTGACTTTTGAGGATCTTTAGGTCTACTCAACTTTGTCAGGCAGATCCTATTTAAATGGTAAATGGACCAGTTCTTGCATTACGCTTTTCTACTCTGGGCACTCAAAGCACTTTATATAACTTGTCTCATTCACCAATTCATACATGGCTTTTTTCTATGCTTTTCCTATGCAAGTGCTTTCTATCTAACCTTCACACACATTTGTTCATATTCCAACGATCACTTCTTCACACAGGGCCATGTAGGTTTGAATTTATTCTCCCTTATTATTAAATACCTTCCTTTACAAACTGAATTTTGTGTTTACTTCTGTTATCTTTGTCTAAAATTTAATTTTCTTTGATGATCTGAAACATTTAAGTGTGACAAAAAAAAAAAAACAAAACAGGAAATCGGGAAGGGGGCAAACACTTTTTTACACCACTGTATCTCCAGGTTTAAAGACCCGCTTAAGCAAACACAGCAGAAACAGTCAAAAGCGTTAGTGCAAAGGTACACAAAGCAAGAGTTACAGATATTTAAAAAAGAGGCTGAAGTTTTGAAGTGACTAAAGAAGTGACAGAGCCTAAGGTTTATTTACTGAAAATTATATACATATGTTAAAATATAAGAGCAAGGAAAGTGCTGAAAAAAGAAGAAAAATAAACCGTGCAGCTTCAAATATTGTGTCTTTCAGACCAACCAGGAATAAACCAGCTGCACTATGGTGACCAATTTTAAGCAACACTTAGAACATTACAGAAAAAAGTGCTGTCTCTGATGTGCACACTTGATGGCAGATGTTGCAAAAGACGATTTATTTAATTGAAATCCTGCCATTTGGACATGCTAAATTTGACACCGATCAGAAGTGTCAATTTAGATGAAAAACAGTGGCCGAACCAGTTAAATGTACAGATTTTCTACTTGGATCAGCTCAAATGTGGTCTAAGAAGCTTTACTCTGGAACTGAGCTCTGCAGATTATGAACATCTGAAACACAACCCGCTCTTCAGGAAAGACTCCCACAACTTCTCAGTTAACCTTGGAGTATGCATCCATTATCATCATGTATGTTGTGTAATAATAACATCACTTTGAACACATCTTTGAGGTAAAGGATGATACTCTCTTCGCTCTAGAAGTACAAGCACGCAAGTGAGGGAATACAACAGGCTATATATTTTACTACCACCAACAGCAATGCTAGTGGTTATACACCAAAACTGATGTTACATATAATGACTTCAATGACTGCAGACACTATATAGGGAGACCTTTGCTGACAAAACAAATACAGTTTTAAGCAGCAGCATGATAAGCATGATCTTATCACGTTAAGTGCGAAAATAAGCATAAGAATGCTGCTGCAAGTAGTCCAACAGATTCAAGGAGAAAACTAGTAATTCAAGTAAAATCTTCAACCCCCTCACTGACTGTAATAAATGTAAACACAAGAGGTTCAAAGAAAGAGACGATGCACTGCTGATTATGTGAAGTCTACAACTTCTTAATGGTGCTTAGGAACAGCTTAAGCTTGTTTACTCGACAGCTAGCTAAAAAGCAGGAGGGCCTGAACACATCTGTACAAGAACAAATACTGTGCATTTAAGCCTAGAATGCTATACTCATAAAGAGGATTATTGCTTTGGTACAAGAGTACTTGGTCTGGGAGTCAAGCCATTAATATATAGACCTGGAAGACATGCATTCGGATGATTGATGGATTATCCTCAGTGGAGGTCCAGCACTAGGAATTAGTCTGTCATAACCCTTTTTAACTAGTCTACTGAGAATATAGTGCATGAGTTAGAGGACACATATCTGTAAACAACATAAAATTCACCCATAAAGTCCAGCTGTGCAAGAGGATGTAGGTCTCAGAGTCTGTGTATTTAAGACTTAATTATCAAATGTATATAAATTGACAAAATTTAGATATAATGTAGAAAAACTATTTTTAAATTAACTAGGAGTGACTTAAAAGGCAAGATCCTGCAGATCATCACAGCGATGATGGAGAAAATGCGTTTTTTAAAATTATGCTTTTGTAATAGTACACTGAGAAAAAACTGAGAGGCATGTTAGGCACGCCACTCCCCTGCTGATTCAGCTGCATTGGCTCCCTGTCAAGTTCAGGGTCCAATTTAAGATCATAATCATGACTTATAGGGCCCTGCACAGTGTAGCTCCAACTTAAGTGATCTTCTTCTTTCTTATCACCCCAGCAGGTCCCTGAGATCTTGTGACCAGGGGTTGCTGGTTGTCCCACATACAAGGTTAAAAACAAAAGGTGACAGAGCGTTTGTATCAGTGGCTCCCAGACTCTGGAACTCACTCCCTTTGAGTTTGAGATCTGTAGACTCAGTCATGTCTTTTAAAAAGCAGTTAAAAACCCGTCTGTTTAAACGCGCTTTTGGTTGATTTTGTTTTGTTTTAGATTTTAATGTCCGTTTTCTGCCTCTGTAAAGCACTTTGTGATTTTATCTTGAAAGGTGCTATATAAATAAAATTTTACTTTACTTTACTCCTATTACATTTCCACTTGATAAATACCAATATATGTTCATGAACATACTCAGATTTCATACACGCATGCACACCTTGTGAAGTGATTTAAAATACCCTTATTAATTAGGCATAGAGATGCGCTGCTCAAGTAGCTGAGCAACCACAAAGAGAGAGCACACCGACATGCACATGCAGCAAACTGGGAAGGCAATAAAACTGTATTCAGTTGTAACATAAACACTTTAGGCTGTGTTTTCTGTTAGTGTCTCCGTGTCCTACCCGGTGTTAATGGAGATGATTTCAATGAGAGGGTTCTTCCTGATCTTGGGGAGGTCCAGTCGAGCTCCTCCAAGTCTTCGGCCTCCATCTTTCTTCTGACCCAACAGACGAACCGAGTGGCCTGAAAAACAACAAAAACAAATCGTCTCACATAATCAAATGATCCTACTAAAACGCTGACTGACTATCACACTACTGTCCATGTGCAGATGGATGCAAACATGTTTAAAAAGGCACACTGAAGTATTTTTGTTGCTGTATTTTAAATGCCAAATCTGAATTGCACTGCTAAAGAGAAAAATAAATACAATATAACAGACGTAAGAAACATTTTGCCCGTATTGGTTGTCAGAGCACTTGCTCTCTCGTATGTCTCTCATCAAACTTACAATGCAAACAATGAGATTATATTTCCATTTCACCCACAAGCAAAATTCCAAACAGAAATCAAACTTCCCATTGTGCAAAATCGACCTCAAATAAATCGCTCTCATCTACTGTGGATAAATTTAGTACGAACAGGACAATGAGCAAAGACATAATAGCAGATCGAAGCACATGCAAACAGGGTTTTTCCTTCTCAGAAATGGACTTTGGGGCCTCTGGCTCTCATTAACACTGTTTTGGGGTTGGGAGGGGTCCTCAGCGTGTGCCCATGCACACTATAAAAGTTGGTATCCAACAAAAAGTACAACCAAAAAAGAACAGACCCATCCTATGCCTAACAACCTCACACAGACTAGGGGTTAACAAACACAATGGAAACACAGTAGGAAGAGGGTAATAAGGCCCAGCTGAATACAATTAATTACAAAGGCAGGAAAAGTAAAAAAGGAGGGAACAAAGACGCAGAAAGCCACACTGTTTGTCAACATTCAAAAGAAAAAAGGAGGTAAACTAATAGACTGACCAAGAATAAAGTCACATAAAAAAATTGAAAAAACCAAAAACTGATAATATTAGAAATGAAAAAGGGGATTCCTCTACTTTACTCACAGTGAGAACTAACAGAAATTATTTATATTTGGCTATCATAGTGTCAACCAAGGCAAATGAAAATCCACAGCTGAGCCTAACAGCTAGTGACATCTAGCCTTTGGTGTGTGGAAATGGGACGCAGTACTCTCTCTTCTCTAACTGTTTAATAGGCTGCTAGCTAGCTGTGTGTGAGATGGAGGCGCTGAGGGATGGAATTGTCTTCCTGTTTTCATCCGCAATACAAGGGTCTCTTGGGAGGGTGGGTTCAGAGCAGGAAGCGTGGTTATCAATTGGTAGATAAAAATGACAATCTGCCCCAGAGGAGGACAAAGAGCCAATCGCTGATGCATGACTGGTCTTAATATCCCAGTACAAGCAAGGAAATACAAAAATGTCCCTTGTGGAAAACAGCTGGGATTTGGACCACATTTGGCCCCACATTTTTTTTTCCTCCCCTGGATCTGTGCATCCACCCTCAGTCATGAAACAAGGATTGAAAACTCATGCATGTGCTAATAATGCCCTGAAACATTTGGAATATGTGAAATGTTAATGGCTACAAAAAGTCACAAGAGTAATTTCGGTGCAGGTTTGTGGTAAAATCTGTTTTTAGAATTCCCTCTTTTTCTACTTTCATATTGAACATTTATTTCTGCGCGGTGGGAAAATATACTTACTAAACATAATTGCAAACACAGACTTGTCAGGAAAAAGCAATTACCAGTATGGTGCTGGATTTCCAGATGTTTTTTTCCCCCAAATAATGAGCTTGTCCATTCTAATAAAACTGGAAATTGTCATTCCCCACATACTCCTTTGCTCTCTAATACTGCACAGGACCCCTGTCACTGTGACTACCGCAGAAGACTCTAGAAATAATCTCACTGCCAGCATGGAGTCACTCCAGGAACGTACCCAAAGCCAAATTCAATTTCAGGGCCTAGGGGACCATGAATGGGAAGCAAGAGATAAAATAGCTAATATGACTTGCTGAAGAAAACCAAAGAACGCTTCACTATTTGTCATCTCAATTACAGAGTTTACAGAGGCCAACTGCTGTGATGGGCAACCCTGCATAGTCATAGACACACACACTCCCGTCTACTAATACCACATTTTCTTGTGACTGACTGCCCTCCTCTTTTTCCTTCTCAACTTTCCTCAATCTGTTCTTTTCTTTCCTTTAAATCTAAACTGCTAGAAATGTCCTATCCACTCATAACGTCCCACTAAAACACACCAGAAAAGAGAAGGAAGGAAAGGGAATGATAGATGGATGTGAAGCTAAGATTTGTAGATGCTTGGATGATGATGAAAGATGTGTAGGATAGCCAGATGGATGGTTTGGAGGGAGAGGTAGAACGCTAAAAGGATGACCTGTTGACCTGTGTCTGATGTCTTATAAGCAGAGGGTCTTGTTGAGCTTTCTAGGTTGATAGTAAAGTAGCAGGCAGGAATGGGGGAGAGCTGATGGGAATGTATTGAAAAGAGGGGACAGAGGTGGCAGATGAGAAGGACGGGAGGGTTTCCTGTTTTTCCATTTATCCTTTCAACCTAACTCTTTATTAAATATGTAAGACCGTCTTTGAAAAAGCTGTTTATGTCCTGACCAAATCTCACACCAACCAGTTTTGATGGGAAATTTTCTCACACACGCATCAAATGCATGAGCGCTACAACGCCAACAATTCCGAAGAGTGCTTCCCTTAAACGTCATCCAGGTTTTGATGCTTTACAAGGAAGATTTTTTGGTCACATTTAGAGGGGCTCTCTCAGAGCGGATACGATACTCAGAACATCTTCAGATGACTTAAAACATAAGTAAAAGTCCTAGTTTTTCTTTCTTCTTACTTCACTTACTATCATCTGTCTGCATCTGTTCAACCACACTTCTGCTCAGTTTTTTCCCTCTGCATTGATAAACAGGTTATTAATACTGGTGAAATAAGGCTCACAAGGTTATATTCTCTGATTTGTAGCTGCACACATAAATTATCCTAACTATGCTTTTCCTACTCCCTGTCTTTGTGTGGCATTCACACACCAACTATAAACTGTTTCCTTAACGATAAATGAATATCAGGTGAAAAAGTACTATCCAAGGGCATTTCTCAGTGAAAGAATATGAATATTAGGAGTCTTAATAATAAAAAAGTCCCAAGATCAGATTATTAGTATCTTTTTGTGGGTTTTTCCATACATTCTTCTCGATTAAAAATATTTTACTCTTTTACTCATTTGTTCTTGTGGTGTGTATTTGTCTGTTGAGCATTGCCGAGAATCATAAAAGCTGCCCTTGTAAAAATGTGTATCCACGGGTGTCATTAATGTGTCTTTTTTTGTTTTTCCGTAAATGGAACTGCCAGTGGGCTCGGAATACAAGACGGAGTCAAAGCACGGGTTGTTGTTAACAAGAAATTAACTTGTGGCACAACTAAAACAAATTGATCTGGATAATCAAGCTCGTAACCACAGTAACACCACCACCAACAAATAAATAACACTGTATAAGTGAGCATGCACCGACTAAGCCAGGGAGTCAAGCTGAGATAACACGACGGGATAAAAACACGTGCTATCATATACTACAGGTAGTAACTTGAAGTCTTTATTGCACAGATGCACTATGATAAAAAAGCAGCTTTACAACTATGATGTATCCTCATGACATCAAGGATGTTTAATTCATTTAAAGCCTGGAACTAAATGAAAAAGTCACACACGCTAAGAAGCGAGTCCCCAAAAGCATATGAGTACTCTTGTCATGTGGAAAACAGGACCTGCAAGCAATTTTGGCACAGCAAAGACCTGTATCTATTAGCAGTTCATTGAAGTAAGTATTTTAGTAGCCATTACGATAGGCAAATCCCCCAGCTTTAAGGTTTATGCCAAGGCCTCTGAGACGAAATAACAGCTCTCAGTTTATACGAGGTCATAAAGAACAGTAATGATACTGGGGAAATTAGTTTCTATGGAGGGGCTGATGGTGGGAGGAAAAGGGGAGGGAAAGAAACGGGGGGTGAGAGGCGAAAGAGAGGAAGGGAAGAGATCAAAAGATGTAGGAAGGGTGGGAGAAAGAAATGGGGAGAAAAAAAGACAGAATGAGCAAATCACAGAGAAGAAAGAGGGAATAAAAGTCACAGAGTAGATGTGTGACTGTGAGCTTGTGTGTAGGCTCACAGTTTAGGCTTGATGACACATTGTAAAATTAAGCCTTAGTCCAGCTGTCCTTCATTAGAGTGAACCCTGCAGTGCAAAGTAGTCACTCAGACGCACACACACACACACACACACACACACACGCACGCACGCACAGTGTAAACTCAATCTGTTCTTTATTAGAGAACAGCTGGGGGTGTATGACAGCTTGACTAGACTCACTCACACTGTAAACTCTCTCTGACCGTCATTAAACAGCTAAGTGTGGTGGTTCGCTAACAGTTTAAACGGATGACCTATAACTGCCATGTGTGTCTGTCAGTGAGCTGCTCAGACAGAGAGGATCATTTAAGAAGCAGCTCAGACAGTTAGATCGGTTTCAACAAAAGCTGAAGACTTTTGCTTTAAAATACACATTTAAAACAATTATTTAGTCAAATGTTGTTGTTTTTTGTTGTTTTTAGTTTACCATGACAACATAAAAAGCATGCTCTTTCCATTCACTTTGGAAAATACTACATTTTTTAACAACCTTAACACTATTATAGCTAATAATTTTTGATTTTTTTAACAGTGTTAGTATAATATTAAGTCATCAGCATTTGATTATGTGCTCTTCTGATGCAGTGTGATACACTCTGATTCTTACTGGTCAAGTAGACTGTAGTAAGGTAGTAAAAGTGGAGAGACTAAAATAATACACGCGGTGGTTAGCATGAGCAAGAAGGTCCTGAGTTCAATTCCACCATTAGGCCTTTCTGTGTGGAGTTTGCATGTTCTCCCCGTGTTTGCGTGGGTTCTTCCCGGGTCCTCCAGCTTCCTCCCACAGTCCCAAGACATGCACTTAGTGGGGATAGGTTAGTTGGAAAGTCTAAATTGCCCATAGGTATGAATGCGGGAGTGAATGTGAGTGCGAACGGTTGTGTGTGTATATGTGTTAGCCCTATGACAGACTGGCGACCTGTCCAGGGTGTACCCCGCCTCTCGCCCTAAGACAGCTGGGATAGGCTCCAGTGCCCCCCGTGACCCTGCCAAAGGATGAGCGGAAGCGAATGGATGGATGGATGGTTGGATAAAATAATACATCCTTGGATCTTATTCCTTCCATGCATAAGTGCAAATTTGTTTTGTGTTGTAGTCGGGATATGGATTTGTGTTAGAGGACCTTCGTTTTGAGTTTAATTGCGGTGGTTAGCATTACGTTAAAGACCACGCAAAGACCGTAAAACAAGAATGCGTGTGTGTGTGCCTTTCTGTGGTAAAATACCTTTAACAGCCTCGTCCACTACTTCCACCACTCGATCAATCTGCTGGACCTGTAACACAAAGAAACAAGAGAAAACTTTATTGATCCTGAAAACCCAAGTCTTCACAGTCAAACAGAACCCTGATATTGACGACCCACAGACACACTGATACTCTGATCCACATTTAAACAAGGTGGATATGCAAATATACACAAAGGCCATATGCAATAAGAGCAGAGACAAACAAGCGCAAAAAGCTACAATCACCAGGCAGGATTAAGGAATATGGATTTCCTAAATGCCACTGAGTGTTTATTGTGCATGTACTGACAAACACGTTCTGTGATAGATCCGACCACATAGGTAACAATAAAGCATTACCCAAGTCCATAGCTGTGTTTTTCTCCTCATTGTCTCACATAGAAAACAAATCCTGCAGTTCTGCTAATGGCTACTATAATGAACCACCGCACTAATAAAGAGAATAAACAAGGCCCCCACAGGCCACAGTTTAATAACAGGCAGACTTTAAGTAGGGTAATCTGGATACTAAAAGAGCCAGAATATTAAACGAGGAGTTCAAACTTTACTTATCTACCAACCGATATTACATGAAGAGGAAAGGAAGCAGAACGAGTGAAAGAAAGAAAGAAACAGAATACTAAAGTAGTGACAGGGGGGAAAAAAACTGGTCATTTTTCTGCTGTTATTTTCCTTTCGCTCTTCCCAGCATCCCTCACACCTCGAATTCTCTTCACTTTCACTCTACACTGGCCCTTGGCACTGGCTCTCAATGCCTTCAGGCCCATCACTTAAAATAAGCCTCCTTTCAAACACACACACTCAGATTCACACTGTGCTTTGCAGGAAGCAGTTACTTGCATGCCACATGCCTAAGTAAAACCTTTTTCAGTGTAATGGTCAAGCAATCTGGGCCCATTCAGAGCAGCAGCAGGCGTCCCTACATAGAGTAAAACTCAGGTGTGCATTTCAGCTATTAATTTAGATCGCACTTTTCAACTTTGGCTGTTTTTAAATCCTCCATTGTACCCATAGAAAGAAAAGGATAAATACTGATATATTCAGCACATTTGTTGCATGTAAAAGGCAGTCACAGGTCTACTGGACGACATACATTTCTGCCTGTGCTTAAGCTTTATTTTAAGGTTTGTCGTTCTATTACCATAACTTAATGACAAGCACTAATGCGACATCCATAGTATTTGGATTAACCTTCGATAAAGTAATTAAAATTGTATATTTTTAAAAAACAGGACCATAAATACTGAGGTGTGACATTTCCTGCTCACAGCTTTGCATGCCCATTCCGATCCTCTGATTAGTTAACCAGCGCTGCGTAGGTGTGCGTAGGTGTGCGATGCATGGCAGTTACAGGATGCGACAAGTCTAGTTAAGAAAAGCGAAACACTGCAGTCTTGCGTGACTGTCTATGAAGCTCACACAATACATTTGCAGTCATTAAACAGCAACCTCAAACAAAACAGCACAACAGCAATAAAACACCACTCAGAAAAGCTGGCAATACGCACACAGGTCACAAAATGAATCCAACAGGAAGGCCCGCCTATTTATTTTTAACTACACTCCTTATCTGGCCGTTGGTGCAATCACTATACACAAATTCTGAACTTGTATTTGCATCCAATTTGCATAACCCACCAACTGCCACTATCATTACATGTTCCACTGTGGGAATACAGAGGGACTCTGCATTCTCATATATTTATGTCTGGGTTTGTTACACAGTGTGCCTGTTCATGCATGCGTGTGTCTTTAAGTTAAAAATGCTTGTCACTGAAGCTCTGGCAGTTATACGCTGTTTGTGCTTCACCCTGAAGCCTATTATAAACACAAGCCTGTTTATCTGAATAGAATCATATTATACATGCGTGTCACTATATCTGAATCGTATTAAGTTACATTGTGGCATTTTTAACTCAAACTGAATAACATTATTTATTGTTAAAGTATCTAACTTAGCACTTGAGCTGTCTTCAATCCATTCATTTTAAGGTAGTGGGAGTAATCAACACAATACTGTTTGATTTGTTCCCATTTTCAGCAGCTTGTTTTACTTTCCATAAAAAAAACAAAATATCCAATTATAGAAATAAGAGCACAGCTTTGTACGGAGATTTAGAAGGCATATCCTGGTTGAATTACATTTTTAAAAATACCCTGCCAGATTAGAGACTTTTAGTCTTTAAAACTTTTTTATGGCGCCAATTCAGCAAGGTGCTGGAAACATGATAACATCACACAAATGCTGCAGACTTGTCAGCTGCACATCTATGATGCAAATCTCATATTCCACCACATCGCAAAGGTGCTCTTCTGGATTGAGATCTGGTGACTGTGGCGTGCAGACATCTTCAAGAAATCAATCTGATATGAATTAAGCTTTGTGACATGGTGTGTTATCCTACTGGAAGCAGCTAACAGAACAGCGGTACCCTTTGTTCATAAAGGGTTATGGTCAGCAACAATACTCAGGTAGGTTGTGCTATTTAAATGACACTCAGTCAGTACTGAAGTAAATTGTATGGAGCCTGAACTGTTACTACAATGCACTGATCCATGTTTACATGTTCTTTACTCCAACTTCTGACACTAACATATGAAGTTTGGTAAGCGTGTGCAAATCGTAGCATCACTTTTCTTTTCTTAGCTGACAGGAGCTCTCATGGCACTGCCCATCTGCTTCAAGGTTAGACATGTTATGCATTCAGAGACGTTCTTCTGCATACCTTGGGTTTTTTGATTCACCGTTGCCTTCCTACCAGCTGCCACTCATTCTTTTTCTCCTGCTTTTGGATTATTCTCTGTAAACCCCTAGAGACGGTTGTGTGGGAAAATCCCAGTAAATAAGACGTTTCTGAAATATTCAGACTATCTCGACTGGCACTCTCAACCAGGTCACATTCAAGGTCACGTGAAGCACCTTTCAGGTTAAACTTCAGCACTGTGTCTTGACGTCTACATGCCTCAATGCGCTCAATAGTTGCCATGTTACCGGGTAATTAGTTGTCTGCATTAACAAGAAGCTGAACAGGTGTAACTAATGAAGTGGCCACTGTGTATATGTGTTAGGCATAGAAGTGTTAGGATGATTTTGTCCAGGCTGCACTGTGGCAGTGTGCTGAAAAGCAAACAAACAACGAACTGAATCAATTATTCAATGAGGAACACTCATTTAGCTATTAACCAACAACAGGCTTGACATATCCATTAGTTCCTTTCTGTGACAGCAAAGGTGAAACAGAATAATTCATCTGCTCTGTATCTCTTTGTTATGCACTCCAATCACTCACCAGTGGCTGGTAACCAAAGCAGAATAGCTCAGTTTAAACAAGTAACAAGTTAAAATGTATTTATTGTCATATTTGTCTGTTTGCCGCTTGTACTCTCTAAAATATATTAATACTAGTAGCAAAAGTAACTAGAGGCTAGACTGCCCCCATGCCACCTTTAAAGGAAGCAGTCTATGCTGAGGAATCACTGACGTGTCCTTTCCTAGCTCCGTCTCTGTTCACCCATAACACCTCCCCATAGTACAGGAGTTAATGTACCCGATCTTCCTTCTCATGCAGAACATTTGTGACTGGGAAATGTTCTGCCTGAAGAGAATGAGCCCAAGACAGAGCAAGGTTAGCTGCCCCGTGAATGACATCCCGATCAGTCTCGAAAAGCGTGTCCGTCTGTACTCGTCATCGGACACAAAGGAAGATAAAGAGACGCACCTTTAATACAGCCAAGTCAAAATACACAGATGTTCACAGAAAGTGCACGTACCCCAATGATGCTGAGACCTTTGAGGTAGTCCATCCTCGGCTGGGCCTGGGGAACGCATCCTGCTACTACCACCTTTTTCTGCTGTTCCTGGGCTTTTCTGTGCAAAAGCAAAAAGAGAAATAAGCATAGAATAGCAGGTTAACTGTAATATATGACAAACACTACTGTTTTTCTGTTTCACTTTCTGATTTAACCCAGGAAAAAAAACTATGATCAAAAATATACAGTTAATATATCCTCTGGATCCTTTTGAAGATGAACATCTTATTTTAGAACCTCAACGGTTAAAATTAAAATGACTCCTTCATATCATATGTGCTAAAGTCTTCCCCTCCGACCATCTGTGTGCATGTAATTTTTGATCTCCACTAGAAAATTTCTTAGCCTGACATATTCTAATGCAATTTTCAGTGGGAGTAAATACTTTCCGATAGCTTGGGAAATGGATGAATCCAAGCTTATGCTTCATTTGGCAGAATGCATCTGGCCCCCGACCCATTAAAACAGATTTCCACAAGCCTTTGCCAAGCCAATCACCACTGTTTATTTAAAATGAGGCGTGTTTGATATAATGACCACACTGTAGGCTTTTTACATTGTCACCTCAGCCCTACATGGCACATTTCTTTGCTCTGACTGATTGAAGGTCCAGAGGCATTTTGATCTGTAGCTGATGAAAACAGCTTTTGAAATCATTGCTGGAGTAAGATGTTCCCAGCTAATTGCATTCATCTTTGCACGTAAGGCTACTGTGCTCCTAAGTCATTAATGGATAACGGCTTGACAACAGTGCAAACAAGCAAAATCAACTGCATGCAGTGATAAAAACCTGTCTGTATGTTCTAGCATATGAAACAAACCTCCAAATTCTTCTGATACCCAAATCTTAAAGTCAAACTTTATAAATAAATTAAAGGAAAAAAATCTATTTAAAGTGTGGATTTAATTAAAAGTAAATTGTGCACATTATGAAATAAATCTACGTGAAACTTAAAAATTAATTTAAAAAAACTAATGTTGTGAGTTTATTGTACTTGCAATTTGCCCTGTCATGCAAATTGACTCTGCTACAAGTTATTAGGTGAGAAAATGCTCAGTATATGAAGCTGAGAACATCATTATTTCAGTCGCCAAATGGCTGAGCCCAAAAACATACAGGTCTAGTCTTTGATTGGCCACTGCAGCACCTTTATTCTTTCCATGTTCACACGTTTTGCTGTAGATTTGCTGCTGTGCTTGCGATCATTGTCCTGACGTAAGACTGAATTTCAGCCAAGCTTTAGCCTCCAATTTGAATAATTGGAGGCTAAACAGAAGAGTTCACAGTCGACGCCATGATTGCAAAGTGTCCTGGCCCTGTGGCTGCAAAACAAGCCCAAATCCTTATCCCTTCATGACCGTGCTGAACAGTTAGCATGAGGTTGGCTGATACGCTGTGCTTGTTTTTTTACAAACATGGACAAATATCTCCACTGTCATATGTCTAAACTACATCGTTCCAGAAATCTTGTGGTTTCTTCAAATGAAACTGCATAAACCTTAGCAATGCTGCCGCGTTCTTTTTAGAAAGAACTGGCTTTATCCTCGTAACTGTACTGAACTTTCACATTTATCATGCTAACTGCAGCCTGTAGCTTCTGAGATGTAGCTCTTGGGTTTTTCATCATTACATGATCTGAACTTGAAGGGAATATGTAAAAATTTTCCAATCATCAGTCCAACAATCGCCAATGGGCGATTGTTAATGCAGCGTTAACGCAGCTTAAACGCGGTCATCACAATTAAAATTTTTAACACTCTCGACCCATCTGGAGCGCAGAATGAACAAAATTTGGGCAAACTTCCATTTCAGGGATTTTGACTCAATCTGCGCTACAGATGGGTTCATTGTTAATCGTGTTAGTCGTGATGACTGCGTGTAAATGCTGACAGCACTAAAAAAAAAAAAAAATAAAGTCGCCAATTTGGGATTTCTTTGGCTTTAAACCGGATGAAACAGGTAAACCTATGGATGTAACCAAAGTGGTGTGCCGCCTGTGCAGACGTAGAATGCGAGCAAAGTACAGAAAAACACGACTAACTTGCATGAGCATGCATGTGTCCACCATCCGGCTGAGTATGCTAGACTATCACCAGCTTCTGCAGCTCCATCAACAAGCATTTGAGCGCACTCTGAGGACGCAGATGTAAGAGAGTGCTGTTAAAACAGTGCTATTAATTTTTTTTCTGTTGACTGCTGCAATTAGCTCCATCATTATTAGCAAACTTGCTCATGGGCAAATAAATAAATAAATCGCCCTTGTAAAAACTATCGATGATAGTCGATATATTCGTCCAATCGCCCAACCCTAGTATGAAGCACATATAGCAAAGCATGCATTACACCTGAGGTGGAAACAAACTAGTAAACAAAGGCACCATTTTTCCTTTTCACATTAACTAAGGTACATTATGTGAACATATATGTGTTTTTTATACTACTTAAATTGGTAATGCAGAAAATCCAATATTGACAAAACAAAGCAATGTCAAACATTTCATGTTGCATGTCAAATATTTACAATATTGATTAATAACTGGTAAAACACTTAACAAGGCTTTAGAAATCCACACTGATAAGACAATCTGAATTAAAAAGCAGCGAGGTAGTGAATTCGTGAAACAAACCAGAAGGAAATTGTGTGTGTGTGTATTTGTGAGTGTGCATGTGGATTTATGCAAGTCTTTATGTCACATCCAGTTAGTGACAGTGAGATTTAAGGCATTCGGTCTGTCTGACAAAAGCTTTTGGAAGAGCTGCCCAGACTCTGCAATGAATCTTTAATAATGAAGCCTCCTGACAGCTGGAGTGAAAGAGGGAGGTAGAGAGGGAGGGACGGAAGGGGGGGCAGGGGGGATGCTTGTAAGTGAGGTAGGAATCATAGGAGTAGGCAGCAAGGAGCAGCAATGAAACTGGATGCAGAACTGTCAGCTGTGTTTTAATTTAGACTGTTTGATTCTTCAGGAAAACAAAGAAAGTGATGAAGGTGGGGAGGGTGGGGGTGGGAGAGCATGGTGTGATGGGAGAAAGATCTGTGAAGGTAGACATCGCAATTCAAAGCCAGTTTAATCTGTCTCGTGTATGAGAAATGAGGGGAGTGATAAAAGCTAAAGTTTGTATGAGAGAAGAGATGGAGGAGAAAAAAAGAGATGAAAGCAAAGATTAAGGACTTTTGTCATTATTTGATTATAAGAAGCTGCTGGCATTAGGCGGTGTAGTTTCAGAACCAGAATCTGTTTAACTGGAAAAACAGGTACACAGTGCACATACAAGGGAATTTGAGTCCAGTATATTTAGTGTTATATAATGCTTGTATATAAATTCTAGGAAAAGGTAAAGAAAGAGAGTTTTCTGACACCAGAAAAAAAAAATGGTGGGCAGACAAACTTTCATGACTAGGTTAAGTGAGTCAGAAAAGCCCGGACAAAAGAGTCGGTATCTGTTTAGAGTAGCTTGTTCTTCCCACACTGGCAACGCCGCACATACAGACACACTCACAGTAGGGGTGCGTCTGCATAATTCACACCGTCTCCTGCCAAAATGCACCAAACGTTCCTTTAATGCTCTGCTCGCTCTCTGCACACAGACTCGGAGCCATAGCTGACACAGCGAGTAAGCAGACAGCGCCTGAGTCGCCGCCTCAGTGCCTCAGGGGGAACGGGCCAATCACGCCGCACGCAGTTCCTGGGTGGGATGGGACGGAATGGGATTATGCGATGCGGTTGCCGTGGTGATACTTTTGAGCCCAACCAAGCGCTCGTTGCCAGTGACCCGGACTAGAGCAGATGTCCCCCAAGATCAGACGACGAGGTGTGTGTGTGTGTGTGTGTGTGTGTGTGTGTGTGTGTGTGTGTGTGTGTGTGTCTACACACACGTTTCTCTTTGACTTCTTTGGCACCTCGCCCTAAATCTCTACGGCCCTCTGTCAACTCTTTGTCACCACTCTCCATTGCCTCAGGACCACACGCACAGACACACACACAGACACACACACACACACACACACACACACACACACACACACTGAACACCCACACGCTTCAACGATACAATGCATACACATGGTCCTGGCTGGCAATGCCATCAGTGCACAATATTCTATGCATACATGTATGACCTCTGTGATATGTATGCATGGTACAGAGTGCTGTGCTGTACATACAGGTTTTTAACAGCTCAGTAGACACAGTGAATCAGTCAAATTAAACCAGACTAAATGTCCAAGTGACATGATCAGGTTGACTTGGGAGATGTCTCTGCTATGAATATGACATTAAAATAACTTAAGGCACTGGATGGACCGCAGTGCATGACCTATATAAAGGCCTCTTCAACTTTGTCACAACAAAACCTGAAGTGAAAGAGAGGCCCTTCCTTAGTGGATTACAGCAGCCGCTGAGATGTAGTGACATCATATAAACGGAGGTAATATGCTGAAGTCTCCTTAATTCTTACTCATTTGAAAATGGTTATGTTAACAAGAAAAATGGCAAAGATAAGATGAGATGACCTTTATTAGTCCCACAGGTGGAAAATTGGTTTCCCACCTGTGGGACTAAGATCGAAACAAAAGGTATCGATCTTTATCCTTTTTACGAAATGCTTTTTAACATAGCATATGTAGCGTCACTTTAGTAGTATTTATTTATTGTCATTGTCAAGAACAATGAAATTGCGTTTGGGGCTTCCATACAACCCAAAAAAAGAAGATTTTTTTTTTTTTAGTAGTATTTATTTATTGTCATTGTCAAGAACAATGAACACTTTGGGCTTATATGAAGTTTTGTGTTGACCTGAACAGAAGACCACTATCCTACACACTGCTATGGTCAACAAGATAGCCACCACCTCCCACAGAAACATTTAATGTGTATTTCCATTGTCTAGATCAAACCAGAACAATTATCAGAGGCACTAAAACCTAGACGCCAATCTAGTGAGGTTTCTTAGTCAGAGCAAGAATGAAAGCCAGGAGTCTGTGCATTAGGCAGAAATTATCACAAAGTTCTGTGACTCAGACTTAAAAATCAAAGACCGATTCAAACTTTCTTCTCCTT